GAAGGTTGAACTTCCCAAAAAGATCAGTGAGAAAATCTGATTATCTCCACATAAAAATAATTTTCGTTCAGTATCTCTGATCATTTTACAGAAAATTATTCTTAATGATTAAACGAATAAAGAACATTAAACCGTGGAACGTAGTGACAAAAGCAGTGAAAAACAGCTAAGGTCAGTCTTTGATGACCGGTGACCTACGACCATTTCAATTCTGATTGAATTCGTTTACAAATCATTATGTTTTTATACCAAACTGGCAAACAACACTGGAAATTCAATATCAGACCCCGTATATGCTGATCCTCGCTCCGGGCAATAAAAGCTATTAGGTGCGAAAACACTATTTTAATATTTATTACAAATACAACTGCAGTTTGCCGTAGCACATGTTACTGATTTAGTGACTTTTTCCCCATGTAGGCGGGTTGTTCATTGGGAAATTATTATGCGGCCTATAATTCTTGTTCCTCCAAAGAAAGTTCATCTTTCGCCGAAGATCTGTCCTTTAATGGGTATCGCAGGGGTTGTTGCCGACTTCAGAACTGTTCTAACCTTGCATCATAAATTAATCCCCCGCAATGGGGACAGTGTCATGAAGTCGAGTGAATTCTGATATTTAATTAATCACAACAGGTAATAACGAGACATTTCTCTGGTACTGTCGATGGGGTGATTGAGTTTCTGAAGGACGCGAGTTCAAGCGTCAAATAAGAAATGTATTTTTAAATTTCTCTTCTCTTGGTATATGACAACCGATTTGATATTTCGGCCAAAGAGAAGAAATTACTAAAATTGGCGGTTCCTTTCTCACTGATTTTCAAACACTTGTGAAGCAAACATGACAGAATGTCATACTAAACATTTGCCGTCTATAGTTTCTTTTAGGGTTAATAAAAATTGTGACGCAATAAAAAATATTGTGATACAATATGTGAATATAAAGATTCACAACAGGTTGAAACAAAAACAGTAATGCAATAAGACCGCAGAATACTGCGAATCAATTCTACTTCAGATGAAGAAGAAATCTCACGAGAGGAGCGCCGTGTTCAGTGTTGCCAGGTATGCAGTTTCTGCAGCAGATGTTCTCTTTTGGCTTTCGAGTACCTGTTTTACTTTTCGCTAGTTGAAATTTACTGACGAGTCTGCTTACTTTATACAATAATCATTATAGAAAATAATATAATAATAAAAACACCATATGAGATACCTTTTCCCTGACAAAAAATAATAAATAGGATCTACCCACAGAACATAAATAAATGAATAAAATCAATATTATATTAATACGAGTGAACTTTTGAAGACATGCTCTTAGTAAGCCTAGAAGAAAGAGCGTCAAATCAAATCTATAATATTCCGTAAACGAAATGAAGACATCAAATCGATAAAATCCAAGAATGCACTTGAATACTTGTGAACTTTGACGTGGAATATTATTAACATTTCTATTCTTAGAGATTGCCAATCCAATTCTCGTCTATTTTTTCAAATATGGATAACAAGTGGATAGTTAGAGATCATTCATCAGATCAGCCTAATAATATTTTCTATCTTACATTAATAAATAAATAATAAAACTACCAGAGAACTTAATTATGTCATAATTTAGTACTGATCATGTTACCGTCTTCTTCATGCCATTTTGCACAACTTTCTGAATTCAAATTTATTTCAAGGGGAATGATGCTTTCAAAATTAATTCTGACGATCTCAATGGATATCTTAGTATTCATTCGTCCTATCAACATATCCGAAGGGTAAAGAGGTAAGCTAAAGCTTGAACTGCTAGTGTTTGATTATGACGAACCCTTTGCGTTTAATCCGCGTTATCTTATTTGTATAACCGTTTATCTGCATATCTGTTCACAGTTAACATTTTTACATTGTCTTGAGGTTTCCCGATAGATCAAAGTCGAGTTCAACCAAAATAAACCTAAAGACATGTAACTAATTGTTTGAACTTGTCAGAAATCGTAGGAAAGTTAAATTGAATATACCAAATGAACACTTTTTTGAAATATATGCATACTTTTCAGAATTTGACCACTTTCAAAGAAGTGATTTATTTGAAAAAATGATTATTAATAACGATAAAAAGGTTTCGGCTTTCTACTTCTCCATACTTTTACAAAAGATGTGGGAATCTTCCAAAGAGTTTATTTTGAAACTCATTTCTTTTTTCCTTTCCATTTTTTTTTGTATAAAGATGAAGAAGCAGAAAGCCAAAACCCCTTTTCCCGAAAATTAATACCTCTTAGAAATATTCCCCTTTCAATTTGAATATAATAATCTTATCGGAAACATTTATTTGGTCCCAGTTCAGAGTTAGATAAAATCGTGAAAATGAGAAATTTAATTTCCGAAAAATTTAAAGAAGATACTCATACATGTTATGATATAGTAGAGACTGTAAGGAATTATTTGTATGATATAGTATGAGAAATAACAAAGATATAAGAAATATTAGGATCGGGAAAAGTGGATACCTACAATGAATTGAAAACAACATATTTCAGTAGCGAGAGAAAGAACACAACACAAATGAAAAGGAGGGTGGGATAGTAACATTTCCAAATATCAATTTTATCTAAAAATACGCCAAACAACCATTACCAAATAAATTCGATTGCTGTGTTTCAAAATGTGTGCTTGGCGATGACAGGATCTGCATACATTATTTCAAAACAAATATGTTAATTATGATTATTTCCTTCAATTAGATCATTAATTGTCATCCGTTATTTAAATATAATCGGCTGCTATGAATAACTATTTATCATCAACAAAATGTATGGGAGTTCAAATATAGATTGGTCTTTTTTTTTCATTTATATAGCGGACTTCATAAAATATACATATCTATCTGTCCAATAACCGATCGTCAAAACTGAAAGAAAACTGGGAAACGGGGACCATACCGACCTGGCATGTTCCTTTATTGATAATGCAATTCAAATTGACGTGGAACTTTATCCTGGCAATTTTCACGTAACGCAATAGCTGGAGAGAGACTGGGCTTTCTGGCTATCCGTCGTCAAACAAGATACGCCGAGAAAAGTTAATATTTGATCGTATGCAAACTCACCCCGAAAGGCCTTCAGGAGTTGTTTCCCCAGCTGCCTTCGTAGACTTTATATACTGACCTGAAACAGAAAATAGCAATTCAGAAACTCTTCAAATATTAGTGACTCTTTGAGATGTAAGACACTGGAGGCAAGATCAAAACCACCAAAATTTATCTTTAATTCATCTTCTTTTACGTAAATTTGGTTATTGATCAGACACTATGATGGAAAACTTTGAATTACTAAGGAATATAACAAAATACAAAAAAATTAGTTAACGAGAAAAATTAGAAATAACCTATTTAAACAGATTCACTTCAAATGGGTTTAATATTCAATTCAGAGATCGGGTTTTAATACAGAATATACAGTGCGAACAGTCTCTCCTTGTACTTTTGAACGGACAAAATTAATGTTAAAAAGCAATCATTACTGACTTTGGTAAGCAAGATAATGTTTCATCATTCTTCGCCGAAGCGGCGCCACCAACTGTTTTTTAATAAAAAGGGACGTCTTACGATAACTCGTGACTATTTGAAAAAAGTGTTTATCGGTCTCTGAGCAACGATTGATCCAACGATATTGTCTTCCGTATCAAAAAGTACTGTAAATGATGCCTTTTTACTTACAATTTTGCTCGAACTTGGTATCTTGTTCAAAAGTTGTATTCGTTTAATTATGAAGGCGGTTAATGAAAATATGTTTGTATATAATTGTATGAAAATATAAATTACAACCCATCCAATTGATTCATGATTTCATTTCAAAATTAGCACCTTATATTTTTTGTCGAATTTTACGAGTTTTACGAATTTTACATTGACATGCGGAATTTACATGTTTATGTTTCGAAAATAATTTAAAATACATTTGAAATGACGTTATAGTTAAAATGAAAAAATGTTTCTCAGCATTTTTCTCAAAAGAACATGATTTGTAAATCTGTTTTCTAAGTAAAAACATTTTGATATTGAGAAATATTTACTTTTTGTTCAACGAGTAGGAATGATAGGTTTTTATCAATGGTAAACTTACTAATGAAAATTACACTGTAAATTGCTGAAAATTTATGAAAAATTATCTGGAATCCCGGTCAGGTCACATTTACAATTATTATAATTTCCCAAGAGGAATATTAATTTTGTTTTAATATATTTTGAAATGTTTTACCGTTACCTTTTTCAAGTGAGACATGATATCCATGAATATTTTCCTAATCATTAGGTCATTATCATCTGTCCCGTTCTTTCAGATATGTGATAAATCTTCTCCAAAGACTTCATCATCATCAACACATCGATAATCATCAACAACAATAAATACAATGATCCTTAATGTAGTTGCAAGTAGAACGAGAAGGCAGTAAAAATAGCTACAGATGTGTGACAAGAAACCATTAATTTGCTATGCTGTGCAATAAAAACCAGAAACAAGGTGATACTTTTCTAATGCTTTCAATTGGCACAATAACGAGTACTACATACTACAACTCTTTACTCCTTGTACGGTAACTTGACTCCAGATTGGAACTTACGTACCACAAATGTATATAAATATCTACAGAATTGAAATTTCATCTAGCTCGACTTTAACAGTGTAATTCAAATTCTAAATTATATGAATGGGTCATATTCGCATTAAAAATGGTTGTACATGTCTCGGGCGTTGAATGTTCAACACTGATATTATTAAGAAGACATGGGATAGTGATACAACAGTTGCTAACCTGAAATAACATAGAAAATACAATTTTTCTAATTACTTGTTCTCAATTTGGATAAGCAGAAAAAAAACATTTAGATTATGTCATTATAAACACTGTTATTTCATCTCCTGAATGATGGAAAATACTTACTGTAGGGAATTTAGTTGTTTCAGGATTAGTTCTGACAACCTCATAAAAACTGATGTGTAACAAACTTTCTGTTTTCGTTTCGGTTTATTTCATGCATGAGCATTCAATTCAGAAAATTCTGATTATGCTTCTACATGCGAACGATTCTAGAATAAAATAACAAATTAATATTGTGATGCATGAATTTTGTTTGTTAAGCTCATCACATCTCACACAAATTTCATCTTCTATGCACTAACACTACGAAAGACCCAATTGAAGAAATAATTCGTCCGTCATTTTGGTGACTCCGATAGCGTAGTTGTTGAATGTGATATTTATAGAACAGGTGAGCCGGGTGCGAATCCCGGTCAGGTCACATTTTTTCAAGTCTGCATACTGTAAATCTAACCTTTCGTTTTAATAGACTTTTTGTAATTAGTTGATGATGAACAACTCATTCCTTTATATATCCCTCAATAATATAATAATATATGTCAAATATCGGTGTCGTCAAAAATTGACCACTATATATTTTCTAGTGGGTTTCAATAAAAAAAGCTCCCTTTCGAAATCAACTGCTCTGGAAAAATAGGGCGAAATATATATGAAAAGAAAAATAATCAAATCATTATGATGGAATTGGCCGATACTTGATGAAAATCCATAACTAACGTATTCAAAAATACATTTTATTGTGAGATTTTCACTAAACGATTTTACAAAAACGCAACACGTGTTTCGCCATATAATGGCTTTTTCGGGCGTGTCTTAACTAACTACCTTATTTTACAATTTGAAGTACCTACATTTCAAGTAACTGATTTTTACCTAAGCTTGTAATGAATTGAATTACCTGGGCTTATGTCCCAGTTTCCACATTTAAAAAATATTTAGTAACGGGGAGTTATTGAATTCTAATTGATCATTCAGTAAATTACCCGAATTCCTGAATCTATTGATTTCTAAACATTTTAGAAGATCGAGTTTCAAACTCTTCTCTTCTAAATGTAACACATCGTATTCATGATTGAACTCATGTCCTTCTGCTGAAAGGTGGTTTGCAAATACGATGTGAAGAGAAGAGAAGAGTTCTAGAATGTTTAGAAATCAATAGATTCAGGAATTCGAGTAATTTACTGAATGATCAATTGGAATTGAATAACTCCCCGTTACTAAATAATTTTTTAAATGTGGAAACTGGGACATAAGCCCGGGTAATTTAATTCATTACAAACTTAGGTAAAAATCAGGTACTTGAAATGTTCGTACTTCAAATTGTAAAATAAGTTATATTGAGCATATGTAGAATATAGTTAGTAAAGACACGCCCGAAGAAACCGAAGAAACCGGCGAAACACGTATTGCATTTTTGTAAAATCGTTCAGTAAAAAACTCACAATAAAGTGTTTTGTGAATACGCAAATCATTGGGTTCACTTCTACATATTTCAAAACCATTACTTCTGAAATTCACAACGAAAATGTTTCGTCTATCGAACCCAAAGGTTTTGTAGAATCAGCAGACTTGAAAAAGTTTAAAGGAAAGTTTCCACATCAGTCTCGAACTTCGACATATTAACATATGAAAGGTCTACTTTATCCTTAGGATATAAGACAAAAACGAGGAATGGATCGTATTTATTCAGACATTTATAGCAAAAAGTTCTTGAATGAAAATGTTCGAAAAGCCGGATCACAAGAAAGAGAAATTTATCTATGATGTGAACGTATTTTATATCGATACGTATCCCAAAAATATATCATCTGCTCCAAAGTTACAAAATTAATATTCAGAAGAGGATTTATTTCTCTGACAGAAATCACAAACCTATTTCAGAAAGTTTCAAATTGTTGTAACGCATTTGTTCAAGATTGATTTAGACAATATATCTGAGATTGGTATATATGAATGACGACAATTCAATTTCCTCTCAAAAATACAACAACCAATATTGAAAATACTTGAGATTCGAAACGAGCATTTAAAATAACTGAATGTGAAATTTTCAACAATTTTATACAAAAACAAATACATCACGGTTAACATAAGTCGAAACCCTTCAAATGAAGGTAGTTTATTTTTAAATGATGAATGGAGTGACCTTCTTGTTTACTAGACTTGTTTGCGCTGGACATTTTTGTGGGATAACTAAAAGAGTCGATTTCATGAATTCATCAATTTCAGAGAGCAGAGTTTAAGGTAAATATTGTGAACAATGTATTTGATCAGTTTAGTAACGTACTTCGAAAATAGCAAATCTTCAGTTTAACAAGATTTCGTTGTAGCTCACATTGGAAGGATGGAGAAAATTTTTGAAGGAAGCCGCTAATAAAATAGTAACGTTTCCTAAGCAGAACGAGACAGCAACAACAGTATGAAACCTAGCAAAGCAAAGCTGTGGTCTGCTAGAGATGACAGAGAAATAATGTTGGTGCAACCATTATATTTAAATATTCTAGTAGAAAATCGAGGTCATGCTTAAGATAAGTCCGCATTCCACGACCAAGCTGAATATAAACATAATTCATACTCTTGAACAGAAAAGAGTTTCTTTTCTGCATTTAGGAATTGACAGGCCGAAAATTTCATGTTATTCAAGTGGAACACGCTCGTTGATCTTACAGAATCATAACATGGAGTAACTGAAAAGTAATAGAAAAGCCAAGTAGTACATTTGGAATGGCAACAGAATTTTTAAAAAGGTATAAGTCATCCTGGTTTTTATTTTGAGGTTGAAGATTTCAATCAAAAACTCTCTTTCTAAAATATGACCTCCTCAATACAAAATCTGCTCATCAAGTGATCCAACATTGCAATGTGGGAGCTAAAATATTGATGGTGGAGTCATTTGCAAACTGACACTCTCTACGTCGTAACGAAATAAAGGACAAAAGATTCTCAATGATATATCGATACATGTCTTTTTTAGATTTCAGTCCCTAAAAATAATTCCAGCAACGTAAACATCCGCTGGAAAATAGGAAGCATGTCACTCTTTATTCTTAAACTAATTACAAAAAGGGTCATGTAATCCAGTAATTCAGTTTCCAGTCTATAGCCTTAATATAATCTGCGGTAGAGAGCAAACTTGGATTTTCTCCTTGTTTAAGTGCTAATCAAGTAGGGAGAGCAGTTCATCAATTAGTCGTGATTCTTAGGCGGCGCTGCACCGTAATAGAAGGTCGCTGCCAGTAAGCCTGGTAACACCGAAAAGAATTAGATGTTCTACAGGGGTGCGAGGAGAGGGCGGCAATTGGGCTCCTGGGGGCAGAACGCGCACTGAATCTCTGATTACGGGGCCTTTCAGAAATGAAGACTTATGTACCGCCCTGGCGCGCAAAAA